AGATGATCTTTGAGGTCCCTTCCAACCCATAACATTCTATGATAAGCAGGGTGGGTCAGTTTCATTAACTATCATGTATTATGAAACCTATTTGTTGTTTTCTCTTTTGTGCTCCCTTTTTTGTCCTTAGGTTTGTGGGTTTTTCTCAAAGGACATCACAGTGTAACCAGCTAACTTAATATTTGCATGGATATCTGTAATTGCAGTCTATTTAGTTCAGTTTTAATAGATGTTCAAAGATAAACTATGAAAAACTGGCTGTACTATGTATTTCACTGGTCATGTCTTTCTGGCAACCTATAATGACAATTCCAGGATTCTTCTGATTTGCAGGTGATCAGATGCTTTGGGGTCAGGATCTGATGTGCATTTTTCTGTTACGTTTCTGTCTCAGTTAAAATGTTAAATACCTTTCAGACATGAAATGTCTTTTGGAATACTTGTTGAATATTCCTGGTTTCACTTTTCTCTGCTCGTTACAGCTCCTGAAATATTTTCTTTATGGAATTAGATTTTTTTAATGTCACACAACTACTTAAGATCCTGTATATTTTTGTTTTTCATAGCTAAATGTAATTTAGATACATATCTTTTCAGTTAGATTTTTCTTAGTTTTCTTCCAGTGCTACAACACATTAGTGCTGCTGTATTTGCAGTAGGAGAGCACTGCTTAGAGTTATGTTGCCTTGAGACCTCGCTTTCCAAAAAACTTGCTTTAAATTCCATCCCGTTTTATTTAATTCTTTACTTAAGATCAGACTAGATATTTTAGCAATCAGAACTTTATTTAAAAATCCAATGCTATTGGATGGCCTGTGGGCACAGTGTAATTTAGCATTTAAAATCACCAATAACAGTAGAATATGCAGTGATTAATAATATTGGAGAAAAATAATTGCCCATATATCTACTATCCTTATTGTTCTCTGTAACAAAATGCTTCAGTAGATGAAGCGTTTTGTGCACAGATGGATATTCTTATCCACCTTTGATCATCTTTGCAGTCTCATGGGTACTATTCTTCCATTCCCTTCCACCTCTGAAACATTCCCATTTTGGTAAAGCAAAACTTACGCAAGTAGGATTCTCTGGTTTCTAGGCATGTCTTATACCCAACCATAGCGGAAATTTACCTGTATTGTGAGAGGAGGGATAATCTGAGTTTCTCCTTCTTTCTCACCTGCGGTGCTGGGAATGCCTGAAGTATTTGGCCATTTGCAGGGAATATATGTTTCTCAGACCTTTTGTCGCAGATATATGATAGGAATTCCGTTTTGTGCTAGGAAATCTCTGTGTATCTTTACTATTGCAACATTTGTTTTCTTTCTACCTAAGACAGAAGCCAGTAAGGGAATCAACTTTAAAACTCAGTCAAGAAATGGGATAGTAATGAGATGAGGTAGTTAGTTGACTCAGCAGGTGGTTTTCTACGAAGTGTTACAGAAATGATTACAGTCCTGCACTTATTAACCACATAGAGAGGCTCTGCTTGTCCTCATTACCCAAATTTCTGAGCTGTCTTTTTTTTCCCCCAGTAAAACTTATAGATTCCATCCATGTGAAAGATAGTAAAATAGTTATCCATTATGTTCAAAAGTGTTGTTTCAGACATAAGAAATGCCATGTAGTTGAGAGAAGGACTTCACAAACTCAAGCAGCTTCATGGCTCTACATTGCCAAGAAGGAAGAAAAGCATTTTGCTCAGTCTGTGGACATGTACACTTTCAGTATTTAGGAAAGAATGAGACAGATAATTTCAGCTGCTTAAAAATGTATTTTAAGAGCTCTTGCTTCTGTTTCTTTTTGAACAAAGTTGTGTTAGCTGTTTACAGATGTAATTTGCTGTCACTTGCCATATGCTCCCTGATTAATTCTGCAATGCCTGTCAGCTTCAGATAATTTAATTTTCTGTGCTTTAAAATGACATTCATTATCAGGACATGAAAAATTCAAACGATTAACTGCAAATTATGACTAATAAAGTGTCTATTTTTTTGTTTGTTTCCAGAGAAAAGCAGAAAGCTGAAGTCAAGGACAGAAGGGTTTTAGAGATTTTGCAAGCTAAAGACAACAAAATAGAAACGCTAGAACAGGTTTGTATTGTGTTTAAATATAGCAGTTAAGAAAACTTCTATCATTGGCATCGAATTTATATTTCCTAAGAGGTGAAAATAGTTTGCTGTTGTGTCTTAAGGTGAAAACGGCAGGTGATTCAGAGATGATAACCTTCTAATAAAGTATTAGTTAAACTCTTCTGAGTTGCTCGAACAGTTGCCCTTTTACCTAAAACGTTCCTATGATTTTAGATTAATTTTTTTCTGAAAAGTTTTATCAAGTCATTGTCTTATTTTGCCTAATGGACTGACCTAACTTGGATTTTAATCTAGAACAGTTCTGACTATATTTAGGTTTGTAATGTGCCTCTGGTTTGGAAAGATTTTCCACGCTAACAAATACAAAAATAAAACATTTCTAGAGGACTAAACATCTAGTATCCTAAAAGCAATACACCTATGTATTTTAGTGTTACTAAACTATAACAATATTTATTAAGTTAACTGCTGGCATAAACTATAAAACAATACCGACAAATCCAAAATGTCATACATAGGTCTTACGTCATGTGTATTTTTTATTGAATTGTCACTCAAAACTGAGTGTTGTGTATCAGTAAAAAAAAAAGTTTAAATGGAAACTTTGTGTTGAGTCAAGCCATTGGTGAAATTGAGGAAATATGAGCTCATTTTCTAAAAATCAAAATAATTCTTTGAAGAATAATGAAACCTTTGAACCCTTAATAATATTTGAAATACTTATGAAATCCAACACTAATAAATGCTAAATAAACACAGGAGAGCAATAAACATTGCACCTTCTTTTTTCTCCATATAGCTTAAATTACTACCTTGTCAAGACTGTGAGGAGAAGAGAATCTGCTTTTCCATATTATTAGGACTGTTAATAAGAAAAAAAGTCATAATCAGACCAAGCGTAATATGGAGAGAGAGAAAAAGAATTAGAATTAGTTCACAGATAATAAAGCTGATAGCAAATCACAGACAAAGGTTGAGAGTATTCTTTCAGATGTCTAAATCCTGCATTTCCTGGGGATAAAAGGCTGACTGATACATAGTTTTTCATAGAATCACAGATTGAGGTTGAGGTTGGAAGTCATCTGGTCCACCACCCCTGCTCAGGCAGGGTGACCTAGGGCCAGTTGCCCAGGACCATCTCCAGAGAGCTTTTGAATAGCTTCAGGGATGGAGAATCTACAACCTCCCAGGGCAACCTGTGCCAGTGCTCAGTCACCCTCACAGTGAAAAAGTGTTTCCTGATGTTCCGAGGGAACCTCCTGTGTTGCAGTTTGTGCCCATTGCCTCTGGTCCTGTCACTGGGCACCACTGAAAAGAGCCTGGCTACATATTCTTTGCATCCTCCCTTCAGGTATCTATATACATTGATGAGATTCCTCCTGAATCTTGTCTTCTCTCGGCTGAAGAGTCCCAGCTCTCTCAGCCTTTCCTTATAGGAGACGTGCTCCAATATCTAAATCATCTTCATGACCCTTCGCTGGACTCTCTCCAGTAGCTCCGTATCTCTTTTGTACTATGGAGCCCAGAACTGGACACAGTACTCCAGATGTGGCCTCACTAGTGCTGAGGGGAAGGATCACCTCCTTTGACCTGCTGGCATTACTTTGCCTGATGCAGTCCAGGATTTCATTTGCTATCTTTGTCACAATGGTACTTTGCTGGTTTATGGTCAACCTGTTGTCTACCAGGACCCCCACGTCCTTTACTGCAAAGCTGCTTTCCAGCTGGGCAACCCCCAGCATATATTGGTGCATGGACCCCAGCATACAAGCTTGCATGGGGTTGTTCCTCCCTTGGTGCGGGACTTTTCATTTCACATTGTTGAATTTCATGAGGTTCCTTTCAGCCTAATTTTCCAGCCTGTCCAGCTGTTGAATGGCAACATGACCCTCTGGCATACCAACCACTCCTCCCAGTTTTGTGTCATCAGCAAATTTGCTGAGTGTGCACTCTGACCCGTCATGCGGATCATTAGTGAATTTCCTCACGTTTCTGATGGCCTTTACTAGAGTCTTGCTTGAACTGAGGTAAGTTGTGTAGCCAGTGGTGTAAACTCAGGTTTCCAGAGCTTGCCTACTTCTGATTTGCTCAAATTAAACCTGATACGCCTGCTGCCTGATGAGAAACACCAGTGAAATGAGGTTATTCTTCCTTTTATTTTCTATTACAGCAGTGGCCGAAATTTCTGTGTGTTGTCATGTCCACATGGCTGTAGATGTGATTTGTAATGTGTCTGGTGCCTGCATGCACATCATTTTTATAAGCCAGGAATGCGTGATTATTCCTGCATTTATACCCTTATCCTTAGCTGAAAGAGAAAATACCTGTGTAAGAAGTTTATGAGAATTTGTGTGCAGTAATGTTCTTTTAAGAAGCTGTGCTGTGGCAGTTTCTGAACCTGTAGGTTGCTTCTCCTTGAGATTGCTTTTGGTGGTTTCAGGTCAGTTTCAGAAGCTGAAATTGCAATTGATAAGAAATCAGAAATTGATAGTGTGATACAGTTACCATCTGGAGGTGGCAAGAGGCTGAAAATTTAAGTAGAACCAAGGAAAAGTGGCAGCTGGGAAAGGAGTGGGTGGGAGGAATTAACAGATGAGGAGGACAGAAGCTGCTTTTTTGATGGTTGTTACAACAAGGCATGTTGTAATACAGCCCCTCGAATTTCTTCCCTTAGAGTGTCATTGACGCAGGGGTGGGAGATGTGAAAGGCACCGGATGGTGCCAACGGCCACTGCTGTATATAAAAGCTGTATATGAATGTGATGTCATTTTGACCTTCATTGTATCATCCATTGGCTGGGATGCCACAGGGTTGAAACAAGATGGGGATCATTTTCTGAGTTTTTGGAGTGGTTTCGGTGGTTTGGTAATCAAAGACTGGAGCTAGCGTAATGAGCAATGTAGTAAAGAGTTTTCTAGATTTGTTCTTTCTTTGTTCATCTAAGCAGAAAAAGATATTATTTGTGTAATTTGCATGCAAATAGGTTGCTTATGAAACTGTGAGTTTTGACAGTAATGACAATGAATGTTTTTTCTTGCAAAGTATAGACAGCAAGGCTTTAAGGCTGCATATTGCAGTCTACCAATCTGATACGTCTAGAAAGGTGAGATTATCCAGTTTTGTCTTCTGTTGTTTTTCTCTCCACTTCACGCATCATACAGAGATACCAGTTGCGACAATTTAATTTGTCATAGGGTATTTATTTACTAGGAATTTCTGAGTGGCCACCAAACAGCTGATTGTATGAATCCATGCTGACAAAGGGAAAAAAGGCAAATAAAGGATGTGTCATAATTTGACATGTATGTAAGCTGATGGTGCTGTCAGAAACAACAACAAAACCCTAGACGGAGAACTTGAGATAATCTTTCTTTTCTTGTATTCTGATTAGACTTTGTCCTGACATGCTTAAGAGCCCTTTTGAAATTACTGTAAATAATAAAGCATATTCTCTACACCCTAGGTGAGATGCATGTAGGTATATAATACTGAGACCTAGATTAGCATTATTTGTAATGATATATTTCAACTGTTTGAAGGGTTTCCATTTTAATGGATATTACTGAAAAACAACTAAAATAATTAATTTAGCAACTTATGACTGAGAAGTAATATGGTCTTTAATCGTTTTTGTATAAAGTAAACAGGAAAAAAAGTGCTCAAATATTCATGAGGATGGGGCTAGTGGCTTTAAGGGTAAAAATCAGTGTAAATCACAGTTTTGCAAAACTTCTGCTGTCTGATATCTTTGGAACAGAGTGCATGCAGTACATTTATGTACTTTAGTATGACTTCAGTCTGTTGTGCACCTTTCCTAAATTACAATGGTGTAATCTTCAGTTTTAGATAAATGACTTTTTTGCCATAAGTTTATGACTTGCCATAAGTTTGTTGCATAGCTGCATATTGTGTTAAACATTTTAAGTATGAAATAATGTGGAGCATTTCAGAATGTACCATTCAGAGGTTCAAATAAATACAGTATTTATTAAAGCACTTTTTTTTCCATCAAATATTGCACATAAATTCAGTACAAAATGTATTTTATTTGAGTTTTCCATTGTATTTTTTCCCTTTGTACCTTTTCTTTCAATTCTTGTCTTTGTAGTTAGTTGATTGGTAACTTTTGGTCTTGATAGTCACAGCTGTGCCTCATGTGGCATACACATATTTATTCTAAATGCTATATTGTAAAAATCTTACTCCTTTGAGGTTGGTGGCTACGTTGCTATACTTATCTTATGACTGTCATTTTTGTTTTATACAGTGGTTCAAACTCTTTTCTCAATAGTGATGTATCCTTTCCATATATACATAATTTCTCTGTTTCAAGGAAAAGAATTTCTAACTGCTGCTTTTAAGTGTATAACTCACTATCCTAGAATGTTAATTATTATTCTTCTGAAGGCTGACTGCCACACATATTTTTTTTCATTCTCCCTTTTCTTTGGAAACATTTCCTACCTGGTGTATTTAAAAATTTACAATATATGTGTATGTCTCAAATAGATCGCTGGTGGTTTTTGTTTTTCTTTCTTTCTTTTAAAATAAGGTGAGGCTTTTGGAAAAATGTGTTAATTTTTTTTTGATTTGGACAATTAGTTTAAAGGATAATGTGGGAACAGGAAAATCAGTCTTCTGCCATTCATGCAATAGATAAATTAAAATATCTTCACCTGTTTTCCTTAGGAGATGAAATTAAAGACGTGTAAAAGTAGCGGTAAACCTTTTCTGTCTTCTATAACATTGTTAATTAATTAGGTTTCAATTCTGATCTGGAGGAACTAAAGCTAATCTTTTTGTCCTAGACCTTGTAACGTTTCAAAACCTTATCAACTGATTATACTCCAGAGGGGTTAAAATAGTACTAGCTTGCCTCATTATCTGCACTTGAAAATCTTCAGCTTGCTGTGCAAATCTATATTAAAGCCCCTTTAATGGGTACAATTGAAAGAAGCATAATTCTACCTTCAAGCATTAATTAACACTAATAAATTTT